ATCCCGACCTAATGACCATCCAGTCATAGGCACCAAATGGGTATTCAAGAATAAGCTCAATGAATTTGCACAAATCGTTAGAAACAAAGCCAGATTAGTGGCTAAGGGCTATAATCAGGAAGAAGGTATTGATTATGAGGAAACATATGCTCTAATAGCTAGATTAGAAGCCATAGGAGTACTCTTAGCCTTTGCCTGCATAAAATATTTTAAATTATATCAAATGGATGTTAAAAGTGCATTTTTGAACGGTTATATTGTGGAAGAAGTTTTCATTGAACAACCTTTTGGTTTTGAAGATCCAAATCTCCCTTATCACGTTTACGAAATGAAAAAGGCTTTATATGGTTTAAAACAAGTACCTAGAGCTTGGTGATTGAACCCATTTATTCTATGTTATTTCATATCATTTTAAGGGTTTTTATCATAGGTTTTGGCTCCTTTTAATGATAATTGTGCTTAATTTAGATTAAGAGTCCTTACTTTGAGTTAGTGTCTTTTTGAGGGTAAAATTGTCATAATTGGTTATTAATTGTATTCAATTGATTTCTAGGACAATTGATACTTCAAATTGTTGCTTTTTATTGTAGGACACTTGAGAATTAGAGCCAAGATTGAAGACCAAAGCATTACACAACATGAGAGTTTCCAAGAAAATGCTGTGCTGTGGCAAAAAGTCTGAAAATGTGCATCAGTGGCTATTCTGGAATAGTTCGCTGGGGCCAACTTTTGAGTTCGCCGGGGCCAACTTTCAAAATCTCACTAGAATACCTCTCTGGAATAGTTCGCCGCGGCCAACTTTTGAGTTCGCCGCGGCGAACCTCTTCGTATCAGTAACGTCAGATTCGGATCCAGAACGCAAAAATGGACCCTCTACTCATATGATCCGACCCAAGTTGACCCTAAAAGCCCTTAGAAACCCTATTTTCGACCCATCACTCCATTCTATCATCTCCAACACTTCTATTCTCTCATCTTCTTGCCTCTCCACCTCTATCTTCTTTCCCATCCATTTCCTTCATCTCTTCTTCATTTCATTTTATTTCCTTCCACTCCCAGCTGCCATGGTTGATAGATTCACTTTGGTTAGAGTTTTTCTTGAAGCTATGGAGGGCTAGGGTTTATCAACTCTTGAAGAATGGTGGTGTGGCATGAGTTTCCAAGCTTCAAAGGGGAGTTTAGTTTCAGTTTGCAATTTTTAGCTATGATTTATGGCTTTCTAGGTCTAGGAGTTGTAATTTCTTAGTTAGGAAATTGGGACTGATACTGTAATTATTGGTTAATGATTACATTTGTAATTTGGATTGATTGATGTTGAACTTTGTGCTTAAATATATGTGGTTGCATATATGCTTATTGTAACTCTTATTATTCTCTCCTATCTTGCATGGTTGTGTTTGGGTACTGAGTTGATTGTGTGTTACATTAAGCCAATTACATTATCATTCCAAATTTACACATTAGGGAAGCTAAACAAAGCTTTCATTAATGAGTTCATTAATGAAAGCTTTGGACTCATTGAGTTAATGAGGTTCTTATTAAGAAAACCTAATGATTTGTGAAACTCCCAATATTTTAAGTGAACTATGATTGCCATCAAAGCCATTTTCAAGAGATTTCCTATCATTCATTTCCATTCCATCATTATTATCTTAAAACACCAAAAATATAGTATCTTAGGTTTGTTTTCATTGCATTTAGTTTAGGCACCATTCATTTAAGTCTTAAAAAAACCCAAACCCCATTTCATTGCATTGCATGGCATTTAGTCTAGCTTAGGTAATTAATAAAGGCTCCCAAAAGTGAAACGACCCGAGTTTGCACTATACTGCATAGCTTGGATTAAATTTTGATTGAGAACCCCAAGGCGAACGACAAGAAAAGGCTCTCTTTCACTTGGTATGAACGACTTAGCACTTTTCTAATAGAAAACGGCTTTGAAAGAGCTAAAGTAGATGCTACACTCTTTATCAAAAGAAGTAAGAAAGAACTTTTAATTGTTCACATTTATGTGGATGATATTATATTCGGTACTACTAATGAGGATCTTTGCCAAGAATTTGCTAAGTTAATGCAAGGTGAATTCGAGATGTCAATCATGAGAGAATTGAATTTCTTCCTGGAATTACAAATCAAATAGAAGAAAAATAGAATATTCATATCCCAGGTGAAATATTTCAAAGAATTGCTAAAGAAATATGGTTTGGAAAAGGCAAAGACTGTAAAGACTCCTATTAGTTCAACCATATCACTAGACGCAGACGAGAAAGGCAAAGATGTGAATCTAACTAAATACAAAGGAATGATTGGATCATTACTCTACCTCACAGGTAGCAAACCAGACATTTAGTTTAGCATGGGAATGTGTGCTAGATATCAATCAACTCCCAAGGAATCACATGAAGAAGCCGTCAAGAGAATCCTCAGATATCTTATCAGAACACTAAATCTAGGAATATGATATCCAAAGAAAGGAGCAGAATATCTAATAGGATACTCAGATGCTGATCATAGAGGCTACTAAACAGACAGGAAAAGCACCAGTGGATAATATCAATTTCTAGGAGGATGCCTTGTCTCGTGGTCGAGCAAAAAGCAAAACATTGTGGCTATATCCTCTACAAAATCAGAACATGTTGCCACTGCTAGTTGTTGTGCTCAGATTTTATGGTTAAAACAACAATTACAAGATATGGGAATCAAGTTGAAAGAAATCTCGATCCTATGTGATAGCACAAGCACAATGAGCCTATCTAAGAATCTAGTTCATCATGCCCGAACCGAGCATATTAACGTTCAACATCATTTCATTTCGGATCATGTTTAAAAGAAAGACGTGAAGGTAGAATTCATTCTTATTGAGTACCAAATAGTAGACATTTTCACAAAACCTCTTGACTAGCAGAAGTTCAATTACTTCAGAAGAGAATTAGGAATGATAAATTCCAATGAGCTGTAAGAAATTCTGTATTAGTTCTTTATTTGAATATTTAGATTTAATGTTTTGATGATTAGAAAACTAACTTAAGCATCAGAGTGGATAGAATCTTGTTTTGCAGGAAACTCTATTTGGATGCTGAACAACAAAGGTGAACAGAGGAGGGTGTGATTGATGAAGGCATCGACAACCATGCCTTGAAGACACCTTAATTTATCGATCACTTGATTGATAAATCCAAATTATGGATTAGCTCATCGATCAACAGGGCATATGAAACTAACCAGAAATGATGGGGAGCAGAATTATCGATAACCTGATCAATCACTCAATTATCAAACAATGTATTGATCAACAGCAGAATGGGACTCTCAGTCAAATTAGTCAAATGGGTAAGGATTATCGATAATTTGATCGAATAACTGTTAATCGATCATATGATCGATAAACCAGAACAGGTATGGCTTTTACTGAATATTTATTGATAATGTGTTCGATTATTGATTGGTCGATAACACGATCAATAATTGCTGTTAGTGTTCTTAACTGTTCTTCATATTTATCGATCACTTGATTGATCATACATTGATCGATAATTTGATCAATCATTTTTGAGTTTATAACATTTAGAATTTAAAAACCCTATCAATTTTTAGAACCCTAACTCGATAAATTGTTCGCCCTTGTTTCACGCAACGGTCAAAAACCACTGTTTCATTAAATTACCCATTGTACTTCACTCGAAATCATCTCTTAAGCCCTCTCAATCACTCTCAACCTTGTCAAACTCACAAATCACTAAACATCTCCTTAAAATCCTTCTTTGTATCGAGAAATGGTGAGAGTTAAACAAGTTGGAAGCGACTGAGAAGAGAGTACCGAGAAACAAACTCAGTCCAAAGAAGTTACTCCCTCGACTATCAAGAAGAGATACAGACCCAAAGTGAAGCAAGATACATCAAAGAAGAAGGGGATATTAAAAATTAGAGAAAGCCAGAATGTAAGCTCTGAGCAAACCACTCCTTAAAGGAGATCTCCCCGGTCAAAATGCAAGTTACCAGTGGTGACTGAGGAATGAAAAACAAAGTCCGATGATGAAATCTCAGTTCAGAAAGCTGTGGATACAATGTTAAATATTCTAGTACCCAGACAATTGAGAAACAAGAAATATAGAACTGGTGAGGGTGTGGCTCAACAAAATCCTGCCTAAGGTATTCTACCTGAACCATTTGAATTTTTGGTTGGAAATCTGGATAGAGATGTGAGTATGATAAAGTTTAAGGCAAATTTTACAACTCAAAAATTTTACCCTGTGGTCTTTGTTAATCTAGATAGTTTAAAAAATAATGAGGAAATCAGACTGGATCTAAGTGACACCTTAGGACGCTACTCTAACTGGTCGAGTATTGGTGGGGAATACTGTCCTAAAGTGGTCAAAAGATTTTACTGCAACATGGACTCTGTTGAAAGAGTATGATGAACAAGATAATCTGGTGAGTAATTATCTCACAACAAAACTCAGAGGTAGAACCATTACTCTCACTTTTGTAAAAATAAATGAGCTTCTAGGGACTCAAGAATATATTAGAGGAGGTGATATGAATGATGTAAAAGCCTACAAGATCTTGATGGAGAGTGACAACTATCCTGGAGAACTGAACTTCCCTCCAAAGTAAATGTGTGATTATTGTAGAATAATCCACCACATTTACTCGAGGAGCATGGTGAATAAGTCTGGCAGCTTCTCACACTTAAACTGGGATGACTACCTCTTACTGGCTAGAATCATTATTGGAGAGAAAATTAATATTAGAGCTTTGATCTACAGTGAGATGAAGGATTTCACTCTCAACAAGTCTAAATCCACACCTATTCAACATTCTCAACTAGCCACATAACTCCTCCAAGTGAACAACATTGCACCTTTAGAGCCTGGAGAAGTCAAAGTGAAGGTTCCTATGTTTGGAATTAATCAACTCAAGAAGATGAGGATCCCAGTTCCTTTTAGACCTTTACAAAAAGTAGCTCAAAAGGACAAAGGAAAACAACTAGTAACAGGCACCTCCAAAGCTCAAAATAAGGCTGAGTCCACTATAAAACCTTCTCACACTTATAGGCCTTCATTTTATGGCAACACAGTTAAGGAAATATTTTAGACAGAGCTCCAAGAATTTGAAAGAAGGGTGTATGCCACTGCTAAAGACTAGAGGGCAATCTCGGATAGGAAGTTTGAGGGGTTATATACTATGCTGGATCTTTACAGACAAACCATGGCAGTACTAGAAAAGGAAGTCTCTCAGAGGTTTGACTATATGGAGAAACAGCTTAAAGAGCTCAAAGGGATGGTCAGCTCCCTCTGCATCAATTTCTCAGCCCCTAGCACATCCTTAACCTTTAAGGACCTTCTTTCCCATCCACCCTCTCCTCCTCACGCTAATCCTAAACCACCTTCCTCTCCTATTATTGTATCTACCACTTCTATCTCACCTTCTGTTTCACACAAATCTCCTATTCCTCCTTCTACCACTTTAGCCATCATTTCAGTTCCTCAGCCTACCCCTTCCATTACTCTGCCACCTCTTTCTCAAGCTCTCTCTCACATTTCCCAACTACCTCCTCTCCCTATTCCTTTCACCTTGCCTACTTTTACTTCTCCTTCCACTTCCACTGTTGTTGATAAAAAGGGAGAGAAGAATTCTGATGATGTTTAGATGACTTAGACTAGTTGTTTATATTTAATTTTTTCTGTGCTTATCTATTCTAACATTCTGATGATTTTCTAGATTTATTGAACCTTGCTGTGTTACTTCTCAGTTTATCAGATTATTTTGCCTGTCAATTATTAGTTTCTGATTTATGTGTTCCTGTCAAGTTTTGCTCAATTGAATTCTTATCTGATGACTTATGCTGTTTATTGTTAATATTACACTTATGTTTTATCATCATCAAAAAGGGGGAGAATGTTATATTTAAGGCTTTGATGATAACAATTCAAGTGTTTTCTATTTCTCTATGGATTTATTAAGTTGATCGATCACCTGATCGATGAAAGATTAATCAGTCAATTGTCACATAATTGCTATTTGTATTTTAGTTACTTAGCAGTAAACTTGATCGATAATGTTTTGGATAAATCAGACTTTACGAATTGATCGATCAATGGTAATATTGATTAATATAAAAGGTTGCAACAAATTATCGATAACTTGATCGATAATTCTGGTGTTTGATCAACTATCAAAAAAGCCACAAAACCTATGTAAGTATAATACAACTTTTATCAATCATTTGATCGATCAAGCTCTTATTGATTTGAACTCAGATAACTGGTAAAGTCTCCCACTTATATTCTATATTTAATAGTTCAGTTGTTATTGATCACTTTATCAATCAGACCTTTATCGATAACTTGTTTAAACAATCGTTTATCGATCAAATGATTGATCATCAACACTTTCACTGCAAATATCTCATCAAGTATTTTTTGAGTTTTTTTCAGATCACTTGTTGGATCATTCATTTATCTATAAAATGATCGATCATCATGACCTCTACATCTTCTTTTCACATCACTTGATCGATCAAAGTCTTTCTCTAATCTTTTCTGAAAACAACTTTCAACAATCATTAATTGATCATTTAATCATTCACCATCTATTCTGTGACTTCACTGTGAAAGCTTTCTTTAAAACCATTTTTCGATCATTTGTTCTATCAACCATTTATTAATAAGGTATTCGATCAACACACTTTGAAAATGTATTTCTCTCATATTTAGCCTTATCGATAATATGATCAATCAAATGTCTTTTGATCATCTGCTCGATTGTTGCACCAGTTCATTTCACAGCAGCTTTTCATGATGATCTTTAAAACCTATTTTCTTTTCATCTTCAAGCTTTTCCCAACCTTCCTTTAGGACATAACTCTCTATTAAAAGAAATAAAGGCAAACAAAACTTGAAAGAGATTAACCTTGCACATTTCATTTGGAATTCACTATTTTCATATTCCATTGTTTATCGATCATTTATTCGATCATCTTATAATCCATAATCTATTCGATAAATGCATATATCTGCTATAGTCTTTCTTTTGATATTTAATCGATAACTTGATTGATTAAAGTTTTATCGATCAAGACATCAATCAAGTAAGTTCAGTTTACCTTTTAAGTATTTGGTGATTGATTCTGTGCTTTTCAACTTATTGTATCAGTGTCAATGATCATCACTTATTCTGTTACTCTTACTAATTTCCTTAAAGAAGAACACTTACTTGTGTCAAAAGATTTATGCAGATTACAAAGCTCAATGGTTATTTTGTAGCCTTAACCTACTATGTCAGAAGCATTGATGGCGAACTTTCATTGTAAATTGCCGAACACACGTAACTGATCTTCCAACTGCTAGAAGCTCTTCAGTCTAACAGATAACTCAAATACTCCAACTATAAAAGGCGCGAAGGGCATTGAATGAAGCATTGGATACACGAGCTACCATTTGTTAAAAATTTACTATGGCATTCAATACTCTGTTTTATTGATCTTTAGTGTTAACATTTATATACTGTATAAGAGAGCTTCATACACTTTTCATTACTTATTTTCTGAGAGTAACTCAAGAGTGTGGACTCTTGAGGGGTTTGTAACCTTACGGGTAGTAAGGGGAAGTGATTGAGAGATTCAATCATTGTACTGAGGCACCAAGAGCCCGTTTAATCTTGGGAACATAGTGGAAATCTCAAAAGTGTTTTAAGGACTAGACATAGGTCAAGTGGTTAAGACCAAACCAGTATAAACTCCGTGTCTTTATTCTTCAGTGAAATCTTCCTAACTTATCTCCTTTGTTTTATTTGCTTAATTGTTTTATTTAGTTAAATTTTTATACCTCACCCAATTCACCCTCTCTTGGGTAAAGTTGCCACTAACGGTATATATATTGTAAGTTTTTAGGCACTTTCTCTTGGTGTATTCCCACACAAAATAACATTCTAAACTATTGGAATCATCAAATTAATATGAAATAATCTCTAACCCATTGTTCCAAGCTTGATCGAATTGCTCCCCTAAGTTAGGGAGTTTGGAATTTCTTCCAAAATCAATCAAAACATCAACCAAGCAGGCTAATCCAAGCTCTAAATCATTGTTTCTATTCTTCCCTAATCATTCCTCATTGGATTCAAAAATTGGACAACATGATACCTTAGGAATTTTGTCACCAAATTATACTTGAAACAAGCTAAAACCATAATCAAATGAAAGCTCTTACATACCTTGATTAATCCTTGATCTTGTCTTGATAATTTCCAGCTATTTCCTGCATGTTCTTGGCTCTCTAAGTTCAGTTTTTTTTGCAACAAAACCTTCCCTCCTTAAGGTGCTAAAATAACCAAATTGAAGGGCATCAGAGGGGATATATATAGGCCACAATTTCAGCCTTAAGCCCTCCAAGTGTCCCATGTAATTATGTATTTAGGACAAACCATGTTCTAATTTTCTAATATTTTATTCCTTAATCATGTGGACTTTATGGACCCTAAAATTTTTGGGCTTTTCTGGCCTAATTTCGTGGCTAATAGGTTGGAGAAAGAAGAAGAAGTGTTACCTTTCAATTCCCAACATTTCTAAATCCTATTTTACTGTATCGGCTAAAACTTTTGTCTAATTTCTAATAATATTTTTAGACCTCCAAAAATTTATTTCTAACCATCTAAAATTATCTTTTAATATAGAAAGGTGTCCTGAATTTTTGTAGAATTTATCTCACCCTCTAGCTATCTATATTGAATTTTCTCTGAAGTCGGGTTTTACCGATAAGATTTCGGTAATAATTATTCTAAAATTAATTCTTTCACTTTCAAAGCCTAAAAATAATTTTATAATCTTAAATAAACCTTCAAATAATTTTCTCATATTTTTTCCAGAATTATTAAGGCCTCCATGTAATTAAAATAATTGTTTACGGCTGATTTTTCACTGTTTTACTAGAAAAACCTTTATTTATAGAAAGTTCTGTAATAAATTATTTTCATGCTATTTTCACTTCTACCGGCCTCAACTATGGTTTCAAACTCTCTAATTTATTTTTCTATAATTTTCTGAGAATTTTTTAAATTTTTTATCCAATTTTCCCATTTTGCCCTTCCTGGATCAATAATTTCAAAACTATCAATCTGGTCAAGAGTCAGATCTCACTTCAAAAGTTATTCCATCTCTAAATCTACTTTACTACTTGGTCCTCTGTCTAATTTATTATTCACACTCCCAGGGTTAAATTTAGTAGGATGTGACAATTTTCACTACTCCATTAAAAAGCTTTTCATTGGGACTTGACCTTTGCTTTTACTTTGGGTTGGATCCTGTGAGATTGTGAACTTGGAATGGATTTACAGTGTGTGGAATGGATTTTGAAAGCATTTAAGCTGTTAGTTATTTTTTTATTATGATGCAGAAAGATATTTTGCAGGTTAAAAAAAAGGAGGAATATTTAATCTAATACTCTTCCTCCATCCTATGTATGTGTGTATATATTGCCAACCTCCCTTCTAAATATATCAAATAATCTTTCTAATTTTCATCCCATTTTATAATACATCCTATTGTATATGAGAGTTAATACCTGGTATGGTGCCCAATGTACGTAGAAACGAGAAAGGTATGTCAGTTATGTTTTTCTCTTACTGGTATGATTTGCCTTATATTCTTTTAACCATGGTAGTTTAATTATTAAGCATAGGAGGTAGTGTATTATTGAGCCATATCATGGCTGTGCATAGGTTATGAACGTAGCAAGTCTTTTTTAGCTTCCATGCAATCTTTTTTATTATCACTACTGATGAATTAGAGTATGACTAAATCTGCTCTCTAAGGAGCTATATTGCATGAGCCGCTTTTTCTCTTATTTTGATTTTATTGAAAACAAGTGTGTAGGATGTCCATATTAGATGTGCCTAACTAATCTGGATTTATAACCTATACTGCATTAGAAACTTGAAGAAGAAGTAACTCTGCTCTTTTGGAAGTTTTCCTGTAACATCCCGACTTTTGGGCCTAAATGTATTAGCCTGAATTGGATAGACCACCAGACCCTTTTTAGCAGAAGTTCCAAAAATGAGAAAGGAAGTCAAAGTAGTTTTAAGGACTAAACTGCAAAGTAAGAAAGTTACTAGGGGATAAACATGTAAGTAACTTTGAGATCCCAAGAGAGTCTCAAGGGCCCAGAAAGAGAAAGGAGGCTAGGTACAGGCCAAAGGTGAAGTTACAAGTCTCAGA